AGAATTGATATTTATAGAACATACCTTGAGCTACTTCTAAATCCATACTCAAATAAACTCATTTTTACATTTTATAATCATTAAAAAAATATATTTTTACATTATACCATTTCCGTTTTTTTTTTCATGACCAGTAAAATTTATTGCTTCTGGAAATTTTCTGGTAAATTTCAATTGGCATTTTTGCGCCCTGATCTAAAGACATCAAATGCTGTGCCGCACTGCCAAATCTTCATACTTTTTTGTGTCACGGGATTATAATATTACATGACTCAATCATTTTATCGTTATGAATTTGAGTATTCAAATAAAATTTTACTCGAATAAAACGAATAAAATGAATAATTCGAACATGCTCTCGTTAAACCATTCATCACCAGAATCGTCAGTCTCATAAACGAAATCATTATAATCAATTTCTTCTTCACTTGATGCATTTTTATTCTGATTTTGTTTTTTTAACATTTCTAGCATTACTTAAATGTGCAGCTTGTTTACTTCGTTTTGGCATTTTTTTTAATTTGAAGAATGTAAAATTGTTAGGAATAGTAATGTATCGTTTGTTGATTACTTACGAAAAAATATATATATTAATATATATTAATATAACAATAGTTTTCTGAACCGAATTTTATAATTTGTTCTGGTCACGGGTCTAGGAGATCCTTTCCCAAATAGGAAGGATTATATTGTGCCAAATTTCATTTTTGATAGTAAAATCGACCAACTTCAAACCACAAAGGCTTTTTTTTTTTATTAATAAAATTGAAAAAAGCTCTTTATTTCATTATTGCTTAGGTTTTAAAGATTGCAAAAATAGAGTTTTTTTTTCAATTTTATTAATAAAAAAAAAGCCTTTGTGGCCTGAAGTTGGTCGATTTTCTGTTTTAGGTTTAGAAAGATTGGTAAATGGGTCATCCTATATACAGAAAGGTTCTTTTTATGAAATATACAGAACCTACGTGACAAATAAGAATTTATTTTTGGAGTTGGTAAGCATTCCATAACTCCTACCACCCCAAGCCTCACAAGTTTAATCGTCACATACAAATAACTGTCACGAGGATGTTACAAAAATTTGAGCTATTTCCTTTTTTATAGAATAAATTTCCATTTTTGGTAGGGTACTGTATATTTCAAAAAAAGAACCTTTCTGTATATAGGATATTCCTTTAAAAAATAATTTAATTACCAATCAACATATATGTTTATTAAAAAATCATTTCCAACCACCATTTTTTATTTTATTTTGAAATTCTTCCTTGTTTGTGTTCAACAAAGCATCATGCATTCATCATTTGGATATTTGACCTTCTCAGATTCAACATAAATTGCTTGACTGACTGCATCCTATAATGTAATAAAAATATTTATTGTATTATTTTAAGATAATGCTCAATTCTTACATTTATCCATTTTGTATTACTTTCTACTTGACTACTACCAAAGCCAGCTGCCTTCCAATCTACATACATTTGTTAACCTTTCTTTGCATAACTTGAATGATCATGAACATTTGATTCTGTATATTTTGCATATTGCTAATCATTGGATTATATCCCAAAAGAAATTAAAATAAATAAATGATTATAAAGAAAACAACAATAAATTATTAGTTACCTGCGAATTTTCTTTTATACACTTCTACCTTCTTTTATATAATCAGTTATTCATTTATGATTTCTATTATAGTGGCTGGTTATCTCATCTTCTGAATTAAATTCTTCTTTATTGCTTGAAATGTCTTCCTCTTCATTAAGAATATCTGTATATTCTGATCTTGTTTATCTGAATCTAATTGAATAGGACTGTTTAGTGCATTTAGAATTTTTTCTAGTTCACTTGGAATAATAATCTGAGACAAAATGTGCTGTACAATTTTATGTAATTTTTGTTTCTTACTATGTCCCATATTTCCAGAAGAGTTTGTAATTTTGAAAAAAGAGAGTAGAAAAATCAAACTGCTAATGTTTATAATCATATTTATAGAGTATAGGAAAAAAAAGTTTAAAAAAAGTCTATGGTAACAATTTGAAAAAAAGATTAAAATTTGTGCAACTTCTATTAATTAATTAACTAGAGCGAAAACAATTTAATTTAATATGATCAGCATACTCATGTGTGGACATAGTTATCACAATCATTGTCTACAAAGTTGCCAATCTAAATGTTTGATATCTTCAAGTCAAAATCAAAAAAAAAAGTCAATGCACTAAAAGAAAGTATGAAAATTAATTTATTGAAAATAATGAAAATACAGTTGATGATGATCTGGGTAATGTTGAATCAGTAACAGATGATGCAGCAATGATGGAAATTTTATTAGAACATGCAAAAAAAAATTTTTTTGGATTGTAAATTTTGTTTTTGTTAAATAAATTTATTTGATTTTTTCATACATCATTCATGTTTTGTCTTAATTGTATATCTTAAATATTGGTTGTATTTACAATCATTTTGTAGACATTCATTATATTAAGGTTTTTTTAATTATATTGAGAGATATGGTCAAGAGAAGAGTTGGGAAGAGGGTTATTCTTCAACCAAGTTGAAAACCAACCCTTTAAATACATTTGCAAGTAGTATGATTTAATTTATTAGACTATTTCAAAGGTTTGTCACATGGTTGCTTCCAACTTCTTAAATTCAAACCATTTGTTAACAAAACAATTGTTGGTGAAGTGATTGTTGACAATTTTGATTGGTCAATCAACAATTGCATGAGTCAAAAATTTTGATCTTGTGCTCATCTTTTGCATATCCAGATGATGTTCAGCATCAATATTTTTATAAATGTGCTATTATTAAGCATGTAGAACATTATACTTTAATTCCTATTGCTTCAATGACAAATACAGTGCATAATATACCAAAATTTAAACCAGGAATTTACTTTGTAAATAGCTATATTAAATACTCTAAATAATTTCTTAGTAATTAAATGCTTTTTAAATAGTAAATTTAAATGCTTAATTAATACATATCTTTATACTAATTAATAAATATTAAATTAAAAATATTTTGAAAGTATTTTTTAAAAAAATATTTATAAAGTATTTAAATATAATGTTTAAAGTATATTACATTAAAGCAATAAATAAAATATTAAATACATTTATTAAATAACCATACTTAATAAATATTAATATAGGGTATTGATCAACTTCATGATGAAAGATCTACAGTATAACATTACACAATATGTGATGCAACCGTTACAACAAACATATAGAAAGATGATTGTTGATCATGAATGCAATCACTACATCATATGACTATCATATTAAGTTCGTTTTAACTGATTAACACTAATTGGTTGGTCCATTATTTACTATCTCACAATATTGTCAAAGATTGACTTTCATGCAAGATTGATGATAAATTACATACTCATATAATAAAAAAAAGTTAAAGGATGCATTTTTACTAATTAATGCTTCACCAAAATTTGAATTAACAACTTTTTTTGAACCAATCAATTGTTTATGACTAAAGTTTTTTTGCTCTTATTATTTATAGCAACAATCAATTAATAATCTAAATTAAAGTTCTGGCATTTATGCCAAAAAGTTAAACATAAATTCATGCGGATAATTTCTGTGGCACAACTAAGTGAACCAACTTTTTGCAAATTAAATAATAATAGATGTTATACTTACATTTATTTTATTGGAAAAATTTAACTAGCTAATTTGTAAAAAATTACCCCTTGGTGAAGAGAACTTTGGCCCATTTGCCTCAGCTGCAGCAGACATGATTAACAACAACATCCTCAACCAGAATCAAAGTGAATATTTTCACTTCAACTGCTATATGAACCTCTCCAAGAAAGAAGGTGCAAAAATGATATTTCTCAACAACAAGTTGTTTGATCATAGAATTTGTAATGTGACAATTGGTATGATAACCAAAATGACTGATCCTCATGTTGAAACGACCTTTCTGACAACCTGCAATACCACAAAGGTGACTGAAAAAGGAACCATTTACTTTGATATTAATGGAAGTCCTGTATAAAACAACAATTTCTTCTTTAGAATACCTTTGCTCTTACCATGCACAAAACCCAAGTATTGACATTACCTCATGCAACTGTCAACATCAATGAAAATATATGTTCATATTTATCTGATCAAGTATACATAATGAGCAGAGTGTCTTCTTGGAATTTGCTTGAAATTTTGGATTTCAATTTTTCTTGTATAAAAACTGGTCAATTTGTGATTCAAGAATATGCAAGAGTGAAAGGCATGAACCAGAGAGATCTTAGCCAAATTAAAAAGCAGCAAAAGCAATTAATATTTAATTAACATATATATGAAAATCTTGAATTTAAAAAAAAATTTTCTGTATTACATTAATAATAAAATTTCACAAAAAATTTCACAAAAAATTCCCTGCTAAAATCTTGTTATTTTTTTACAAAATGGTTTTTTGTAATCATCTTTTGTAATGTATGGTGCAAGATACTTAGTCCCTACAACTTTCTGTGTCACAGCATTAATTTTTTGAGAAAAAATTTACAATCAAAAAAGCAATAAAATTTTATTGTCATGTGTTTTGTGAAGATCATCAAGCGCAGGATTTTATCCAGATACATATATAAATATATAATAAATTTCAGCATTAAAATAAATTATTAATTTACCTTTAGTCACCCAATTTATATAATTAATATTGACAAACTATATAATAATAAAAAACTCCTCAATAGTAAATGGAAACAAATTTTGGTTTGTACATGTTATTTTACTATCACTATATTCACAAAGAATTTACTAGGAACATCGTTAAGCTTACAATGATTTAGACTCGTACATGACCATCATATCTAAATTTGGCAGTAAGAAAATATTTTTTTGAATAATATTTCGAATCACATGACCAAATTTGTGAATGATTTCCTTCTGATGTAATATGTTCGTTAAAACTTTTTTATTACAAAAAACTTTTATTAATAATAAAGAAATATATGTTGAAAAAAATATTCTATGAAAAAATTTTTGTTGCACGAAATTTACTTGGTCACAATAACAAAATTTTGAATTTTCAAAATGCTAAGGCTCTGCCAATTTTCAGTTAAGAAAAAACTAGCCGATAAGTTTTGAAGCTTGAATCATGAACAATAAAACTTATAAAAAATTTTTGTTTTAGTTACTATAAGCAATTAATTATAGATGATCTGCATAGTAGTGCTAATAAAGATCAGGAATAATAATATTTCAAACGAAAAAAAGGAAAATTAAAAAAAACAGATGTTAAAATTGGTCTGGGCTTGATAAAGGGTAATCCAAGAGCGGAGCAAACAAGACCATGAAATTCCATAAAGGAAAAAGACAAAAACATAAAGTTAAAAGACGCAATAGCTAACAATGCCGTTTTTTTAGATTAATTACTCCAATTATTCTGTAGTATAATGAATAAATTTTGAAGCCTGAAATCTTTATGTTCACTTTGTCGCAGTATGCCTCACATATATATTAAACATACAAGTACCGAGTCTTGAAAACATTCCGTCCATCTGCTTCGGCAAGTTTAGCAAATCTAACGGAAATAGCAAGTCTTTTAAAAATTATTTAATAAAGCGATACTATATTTAAAAGATTTATTATCCTTTAAAAGTAATTAAATAAATAAAGCTTACATTGTCCCAACCATGACCTCAAGTGTACAGAGAGATAATTGAGTTAAAAACATTTAACTCTACAGAAAATGCAGGTAAAAAAAAAATTTTTAACACAACACTATTAACTACCAATGAAATGTCTTTTATGAAATCAAATAGATAAATTAAATATGTATGTAATAAAAAATATAGTCTTGCAGATCATTCTATTTATTTATATTAGAATTTGTCCCTCCAAAATAAAAATCCCTATATGTTAAAATGATAATGAATTTTCTTTCCAGTCCCAAATAATATAAATTCAATAATTAAAAAGAAAAAAAGAATTCCAATAATTTATTCGTAAAAATGAAAGAATGCCAAGCCAAATTACAACATTATTATTATTATTATGTTTATATTATATTTAGCTGACTGAATATAATTATTTTAATATATATGATATTTGTCAGTGATGCACACCAAAATTGTGATGTGTTATCGAAAATACTTTTGGTAAATAGCTTCGGCATAAGAAAATTTCTTCCTCCAAGGTACCGAAACTACAGGCATCACTGATACTTATTACTGCAGCATTTATAACAAAAATACCGCCTACAATCGACCCTGCGATTGTTATTAATACACCCTGCGAGATATTAAGAATGGTAGTCGCTCCAGTTTTGACGGATAGGCTGTTTTGAACTTTTTGTGATTTGGTAAAATTGGTTTATAAGGTTAAGAAGTGGAAGTAATGATCATGGTAGTTTGGCTCATAAGAATAAGAAGTAGAAGTAGTTATTGTAGTACCTCCTGTCGATTCAGAAACAGATGGTGGTGCTACCTTGATATATTTAATTATTGCGAACA